GTTCAATGTGTACGTTCAGTATGTGTCCTTGTCATTTTCTTTCATTTTTGGTGACTGGAGCGTGATCTATCGCCTTTATATCGTTAGGGACAATTGTTTTGTAATCCGACGTTATTTTATCTGTTATGTGGACAATTGTTTTATATTATTGTTTCTAGTGCACATAATTATTAGTTCATTTGTGTATATAATGATTAATATGAAAATTATAACATTAGAAATTAAATAACATTGAATAATTTTTAAAATTAGATTGAAAACATGAGGAAAAAAATGTAAAAATGTTAAAATAGGTGTAGATAAATAGATCATTTTTTTGTGATGGATAGTGGCAATCACTATGAATGTTGTTTAAAACTTGGACTGTAAATGTAAGAACACACAAGGCACAGTTGTTATATTAACTGGTAGCAACAGAAAAGATGAAATACAAGTTTCTTATGCAATGTGTGAAGATATTCATGGCTGCTCTTCGGTACAAATAACGTAATAAATTTGAATGCAAGGCGACAGTTGAAGTATATATGTACGAACATGCTGCTGTAATTGATAGCCATTATAATAGGTTAGAAGTAGACCAGATATTACACATATGTCCATCCTCGAATGTTTGGGAAATTATTAGTTACAACTGACAATATCCTCAAAATGAACACTAATATCTTCTAAGTTGGAATAAATATTCAAACTTAGGAATATTAATATGTAAGTCCATAGTGTAATTTTGTACGCAACTACATACACAAAAGTTAGGTTTAGAACAAAACGGATGACACACAAGATCTTAAGCATTGATAATTGTTCTAAGATGTCGGTTTTAGGACAAAAAAATGATTAATTTAGAAGTGTGTGTCATGCATCTTTTTTCTGTCTTTTACTGGAAGTTCCAATTTTTGGCTCTTGTATGGGCTGATCATCTGAAACTGTTGTTGTGCTGGTTGCATTACTTGATTCGATTTCAAAATTGATTGATCTTTTTGCTCCTGTTCTTTTTTCTTTCTTAGTCGCAGCTGGTAATGGGGTATCAAGCAGTGATGTAAGTAGTTTGTGTGCCGTCGGGGTGAACTGTTCTTCTACAATGACCTGTTAAGCGTTAACGTACATGTGAAATTAATGTGTAGATTGTTACCTGAACAAATGATTGGTGTGATGAGCAGCTACAAATGTCTCAATTGAAAACAAAATTTTTGCATGGTTAAATTTATGTTAAACCTGTTTTCCCAAGGTGTGTGATGGGTAGAAATATTTGTTTCTTCCATAGGCATTATAGGTTCAATGTTCTCTTCATTCACATAGACAACAACAACAACAACATAGCTTGACTCATCCTTGTCCTGGTAGTCTGGAATGTAGTGTCTTATGAAACAAGTGATCTGTTTTTTTTTTCGCAGTTTGCTTCAACCTCCATGGCAGTTTGAAGCTGCAAGTTATAATTAAAAAGGATACATTTTATACACAAGATTGTTCTATTAGTTAGTGTAAAGTGCATTTTTTTGGTTGCAGGAGTAATATTTGACTTATGACATTAAGTTTTTCATGGATGAATTTAGATTAAATAAAAAAAACATGGATTTTGTACTTGGTTTTTGTTCATGCTCATCTGGGCTGCTGTTGTTCTGCCTCTAGACCACTAATGACAGCTTGTATAAGACCACTATTGTCTTCAATTCCCAAGGTAAATCTACACCTGTAATTAGTGTAACAATTATAGTCTAAACAATATTATAAAGAACCTGGAAACATTAGGTATTTAATCTATTATTTGAATATCGAGGTTCAACTCGTCCTTCTGTGCTGCAATGAATGCATGTGACTGTCCATCCCACTTGGGGACGCAGACATTTTTTGCAATTTTGGCAAGCAGTGAACCAGTAACATGTTTGTCCATGTGTGAGTACTGCCTTTCCTCAAACCCATGCGGTTTTCAACTGAATACATTCAATATAATTTTCATTATGTTGGTTATAAAAAATTGTATGGCTGGGTAGAGTGAAAAGTTATGTAGGAAAAACTTATCACTCACAATGTGCATTTTTTTTAATGATGATTAAACTGACAGAATCTCAGACTTATTTGGTGGTGGTAAGAGAAACTCCGGGTCTCTATACACTTTTTGTTCGAGCAGATGGGCAACTTCTTTTTTATGTTCAAGGAACCTATAGATTTAATTGCATACAGATAAATTTCAGTGATATTTAATTTCAGTTCAACTAAATAAGTCCTGGCAGTCCGGACGATTTGGGAATTTTAGTTTGAAACATCAGTTTGAGCGTGAACCAAGATTTTCAGTATTTTTCTGAACCAGTCAGATTGAAGCCAATCATAATATAGTTCTAGACTTAGAAATATTTCAGAGAACTCTAGTATGCCTCAAAGAAAATAAATCTTAAAACATTAGCTCGTAAATCCCTAAAATGATTTTAAAGTCGAGTGAGCGAACCTAAACATATCAGATAATAAGATTCGAGTTTTTTAGTTCAAGCTTATTACTTAGATTATATTTTGTGCTTATATATTTTGTAGCTTGTGAAGATTCGAGCCTCCGACAGCTGCAAACCATTAAGCACTTGCACTTCAACATATAAGGTGGGGACCCTGTACTGGGTACTACATTTTCTATAATTGTAATATCCTGGCTAAAGTATGTATGTAAGAGTCCACCCGAATAGGGGCAATTACCTAGCGAGTAGATCTTTTCTAGCTAAATGAACCGAACGCTAGTTTAGATGAAATAATAATTCTAGTGCAGCTTTGAGGTAAGTTGAATTCTAGACGAGGTTAGAATAATTCTTCCCTAAAGGGCTTTGACCTAGAGATAGGTTTCGTCATAATCAACTGTTTCGAACCTAGTTAGTAATAAGGACTCTAGTGAAGTTGTGAGTTAAGCTCCAACCTTAGAAGTGCATAAGAGTTAGTTTTGCTCTAGTATGTGGCAACGACCTACAGATTAGGTCATACAGTTTCTTATTGCGAGCGTGAAGACCAAGTGTCCTTCTCGTCAGTTAAGCAGTCTGTTGAGCAGCAATTATAGATAGTCAGTTGAGCAACAGATATAGACAATATACTCATTTATACGCCTTGTGTTGTGTTCTATCATATTAGATGTATGCTTAGATTGTAATGTATTTTATTATACTAGATATATGCTTAGGTTGTGATGTGCTAATCATATCAGAAGTATGTTTCGTTCGTGATGCTGCAGTTATAGTCAGCCAGCTGAGCAGCAATTATAGTCAGTCAGTTGAGCAGCCATTATAGTTAGTCAGTTGAGCATCGATTATAGTCAGTCAGTCGACCAGCCATTATAGTTAGTCAGTTGAGCAGCATATATAGTCAGCCAGTTGAGCAGCCATTATAGTTAGTCAGTTGAGCAACGATCATAGTCAGCCAGTCGAATATTAATTATAGACAGTCAGCTGAACAACAGTTATAGGCAGTCAGTTAAGTATCAGCTATAGATAGTTTGCTTATTTAAATTTTTATTGGATGATTATTTAAAAATGTTCATTATCGTATCGTTTATGCCGGTCTAGTAAGTACTTGCATATATGCCGATGTCATGATATGCGATTATATTAGCTGTATATTTTAGTGCCGGCTCCGGCGGAGCATCATTGATTCATTTGTGCTCACGCCCCCTACTAACCATTTTTCAGGTGACGGTGTCGAGCGTTGAGCGTGAGCCGTTGATGTGGTGGTGGTCATAGCAAGGATATTTTTGTGTAAACATGTCATGTATATTTGAACATGTTTGATTTATTATGCTTTGTTGATGCATGCTTGCATTTGCTTCCACACTCGAAATATCTAGAATTTCAGTCTATGCATGCTTAAATCTTGAGATGTTCATGGAGCCTTATTAGAATAATGAATTATACTCGGTTGCGTGCCTAGTAGTTTAAAGATATTAAAGGTTAAAGATTTCAGATTAAAGTTGAGTAGCTCCCGCATATTAAAGTTAAAGTATTTTCAAAAATTAAATCAAAGCTTTCATTTTATAGCGCGAAAAATTTTCTCTGATTTTAGTAAGTCTAGGCAGGGTGTTACATCTTTTCAAGTAGGCGGCGTTCTACCGGCACGGAGGAAGAAGACAAGACGAATTCCGACCGTGACGTTACCAGCCACCAATTTGTCGGAAAAACACCGCAAAAATCTTGGCAGCGGCGTGATAGTGGCCATAGCGGTGGCGGTGAGTGAGGTCGTGAGGTTGAAGTAGACTTGGGGGACCAACTTATGAATTTCGAGAAAAGCTTGCAGAATGATTTTGGTATGAAAATCTATGCTTATATAAAAAGGCATTCTATTTACTAGAATTAGTAGTAAGAAAAGTTAAAGGTAATTAATGTATTCTATTTCCATCAAGTGTTTTATTTAATTATTTTAGTTAATTGTTTTATCTCATAACACCTTTTCAATACAATTTACCATAATTTTTCTATTGTGATTAAAATCAAATTTTACGTTTAAAATCTTGTGAAATTATTATTATTATTTTTATAAAGCACATATTATTTGTTAAAAAATTGTATATATATAATACACATCACAGTACCATGATAGATGATTTAAATGTCAACCGACCAAAATGCCAACGATTTAAACTTGAACACACCTATGCGTTTGACCAAATGTCTGGATGATATAAAATTGTGCCCATAAAAAATTGTTTAAATTTGAACACAACAAAAATTTTATATATTTTTTATTATATTTGCAATGAATAGAAGTTTGAATGCATGGACGGATCTTTATATGGCCTGGGCTGGGCTGAAGCCCAGGCCTATTTTTTTTTTTAATAACTATTAGTTTTGAAAAAAAAAATATATTGTATTTTTAGCCCAGTCTAATAAATCAACTTACTAATTTACCAAAATTATTCATTTATTTATTAAGTCCAAAAACAACTAACACCACTCTAATAAAATATTATATGTTGTTGATCCACCATTTCTATTATGCACTTATCCACAAAACATCACTATACACCAAACTCCAATTAAATAAATTAACCACGACCATATCCCTCCTCTAAACAACATAAAATGAATTTAGAAGAAGAAATAAAACTTTTCAACAGGAAGAGCTACTTTCATGAAGACGATTTTAATTTCTTATATAATAGTAGGTTATATTTTTAAACACCCTATTACATATTTATTTGTATTGTGGAATTTTTATAAATTCACATGGAGCACGAACCTTCGGCCAAGAAAAGAGAAACCCCGTTGATATCATCATTCTTTAGAAAACGAGAACGACGTCAAACTAGTTAAAACACATCAAATACGGTGTAAAATGAGCATAATATTATTTTTTTTTTTTTTTGTAAAATCTCGTCGAGCACAACTTCAGTAATATTTGAAAAAAAAAAATATTATGTGATTTTTGTGAAACAATTTTTTAAAATTCTAGCCCAGTCTATTGTTAATTTCTGGATCCGTCCCTATTTGAATGAATAATTTGTAATGTTATTCATAATGTTTGTGACTTATGACACACGAACACATAACTCCATACATATTTGTCATAGGGCAACTTAATAATTTTTTAGACTTAACGTTGATTAAAAAAGGTAGAAAATAGATAATAACATTATTACTTTGTAGACTTAAACGGACAAGACTGTGAAATAACTCATTTAATATTTTTGTCTCGTACATCGCACGGGACACGTATTAGTTCGTTAAAATAAAACACATAATATCCGTCTTGAAATTGATAAATGTAATTAATAATACCACATATGGTTTATAGTCGATATGGGCCCCACAAAATTACTGACTATACTAAGACAGTCATGTGTAAATAACGAACTAATGCCTTGCACTTTAAAGGATCATGGAGTGTCATTTTATCCTGTTAAAGCCCGCTGGTTCACTCGACCCGTTTGGTAGGCGACACTCTAGATAACTCTTTACACCACCAGCAGGTAGCAGCTATTATAGGCTACATCACCTGTTTTGCTATATATATTTTATTTTTTTTTATTTAATTCCCGACACTTCCAGAATTCCTTTCTTTCTCTCTCTTCTCTCTGGAACCGTGTATGCTTTCTCCATATCACTTTCCAGAAACCTGTATAAATCCCTATATAAATAAATCCCATCTTCCTCCCCAAATCATCAAACCACCATAAATTCCGATCACAATCACTCTCTCGCAAGCACATAAAACACACTGCACGTGACAGCTAACTGTTCTCAATCAATGGCGAAATTCACGAGCCTTCGCGCGGCACTCATTGCGTCTGTGTCCTTGTTGGCGATCCTCACTCCCGTTCGGTCCCTCGTCCCCTACACGCGTCCCCAATCCATTTTGGACCTCGTGTTCCCGGCCGAGGATCCTTTCCGGATCCTCGAGCACTCCCCGCTCTCGATCCCTAGGGTCCCCGACGACAGCGGCGCCCTTGCCCTCGCACGGGCGGACTG